GGTACATATCACCTTTGAAAGTCTTGAAGATTTCTGTCAGGTAAATACGGGAGCACTGAGGTAAAGCCATTGCTTCCTGTAAAAACAAATGTCCCACAGTTCTGGCTGAATGCTTCCTTAACTGCAATACTGAATGGGATATTTAATCAAGCAAATTAAGTGAAAATGCTAAAAACTGACTTGGCCTACAGTCAGTTTTCTATCACAGTTCATAACAGAATTGCAAAATCCATTTTCAAAAATGAAGGAAATAACATCATAGACAAAACAAACAAAAAACAAACTCCGTGGCTTTAGTCTGCAAGCGAACTATACCGACTGATCAACCGCCGCTTGTTGGCAAAGTTAATGCCAACTTTAGCAGATAGAGGGTGTTGCATGGTCAGCGCAACAAATTCCTATGGCTGTTAATTTCGGTTTTTCTAGGCTGGAGCTGCTACTTTTCCATTCAGTTAGCTCCTCAATTATCCTCATGAGGTTAAGTGGGTCTTGTTCCAGACGCAATATTCCTCAGAAAATCTGGTAGCGCCGGGAACAGAACCTGGGACCTCTGGATCTGTAGCCAGGAATTCTGACCACTAGGCCACAAAAGCGATCAACATTCTAGATAATCTGAACAAAATCAATGACTCAGAAATTGATGCATTTCAGTAAAAATAAAGTTCTTAAAGCCATGTATGAGATTTCATGTGGAACAGGTAACTGATTCTGAGGACCAGAGAGTTACTGACATTGTGTTACTAGTATGCAAGACCAGTATCATGTGACGTGGAATATACATCACTCTCTGCTGATAACAAACATGGATTTATGACACATAATTTACAGGTGACTGGATCAGTGTAACAGTGCCATACTTTCTGTCTTACATACGGATGGCTGCTGGCGAATACTTTTTGACTTCTTAGACCATATTTTTTATTCCTAAGGTATATATAAAATAAATATGTTTAACTGTTAGCAAAAATGCCGTGGGAAGGTGCACTATGATATAAAATCCACTTGTCTGGCCAAAGATCTGGTCTTTCTTGACAAATACACTGCTATAAACATGGAGGCAAAATGCTATCTTGACTGTTTGTAGGAATAAATTCACAGTGGATAATTCCTCTGATACCAAAACAGCAGACCAGTATGGTACTGACACTCATGTTTCTTCTCTGAATTTGGAGACTGAACTGTTCCACCTGAGGCTTCATGTTTCATTTCTTGGTCATACTGGAAGACTTGAGTCTCACCATCAGTTATTATATTTTTTCAAAAGGGTAGGTTGTTTGAAAAGTTTTGCTAAAAGATCTAAGCAACCTTGTTCATCCCTTCACTTATTGCTTGCAAACTGAACAAGGCTTGAAGGTCCAAGGCAAGATTAAGGCAAAGTCTGGGTGTTACACTTGTAACTCTTAAAGTCACAGCATCCTGTAACAACAAACAATAATTACCAACCTTGTATACTGAACTTCCCCCTATAATCCATGCTGACTCGACACTTTCTGCAAGTGGGGGCTCCTGCAGTCTCTGAAGAGCAGTTTCCAATGAGCTACACACCAGCACATTTGGCCCCAGAATCCTACACAGGCAAAACATATACTAGTAACAGGAATACTAAATACATTCTATGTAACATGATAGTTGAATATTTAGTGTTCCTCCATCAATTTCAGTGGATCTGGATTAAAATCTTGAAGTACAAGTGAGCTATCATAATTGAGTTAGTCTATGCTTTTTCTCAGTCTCTCCAGGCAAATACAGAGGCATCTTAAGTTATGATAACACCACTTCCTTCCAATTCATCAATCTCTTACCCAAGCTATCAACACTAATGAACACAAGTGGCTGGAATAGCACTGTTACATAAATAAATCAAATGTCTCAGTGTAAAATAACAGTATAAGAAGTTCTGGGACAAACAGATTACCTACTTCCTTTGATATGGCAAGGACCCCATAGAAAATGATAAGTCCAACAGGTCTCCTCATGTTACAGGTGTATTAGTTGCCACAAGAACATGTTCACTAGCTAGTGCTTAGCAACTGAGCCACAGGCTAACAGAGAAACTCTTGGAGGCAGTGTTTTCTCTGCAGTCCAATCCAAAGTTATATAGAGAGGACAAGTCGAGTAGGAAGACCTAATTACCAAGCCATTGCTTAGCAACGCCTATCTCTGTGGCACTTCTCTGATCAGGCTTTTAGGCATCACATCAGATGTCACATGTCTATACGATATTGTAATGGCAATCTCTTTCTGCTCCACTAACACAGCTTTCAGGAGTTAGGGAATATACACAGACACACAAACAGCAAAGTGATCTCATGAGCTTCCTTTTATATTTCCAAAATACTGAAAGTAGGCCAAAAAAAAGTGCCAAGTTTGACAAATCTGAGTGCAAGAACTCAATAAGGGATGCTGCCTGAATGGTCAAATTTAAGCGGTTATATTCAGTGGAATGTTACAACACAAGAAACATCATACAGAACTGTTTCAAAAGCTGTCATTCTGTATGAAACAAAATCTGAACAGTTATGTTTTGAGAATTCAGATGGGCTTTCTGTGCAGTAGAACAAATAATGTACCATGCCAATATTCCTCCAATAACAGTAATGCCATGACTTACTGAGAGGCATTTTATTTTAATATTGCCTACAAGTAAGAAGGCCCCCCACAGTCAACTTAGGCAGTCTGAAACCTGGGAGGAGGGTTATGATTTATAAGTGTCAGAATTGTGGTGATGATGTATGTTTTCACTGTTTCAAGGACTACCACAGTGTATTGAACTCCTCGGACGGTACTAAAGGAATGCACAGAAAATCTTCAATGTGCAGATATTACAGGATATCAGATCTGAGGCTTTTGCAGCAAACAAAATTCATATTGTGGCCTTCTTGGTGATAACACTGACAGTCTAGCAGGTGGAGGGTACATATTGCCTCCATTTTCAGGATAAAAGTTAGCCACACTGAAAAAGTGGCTAGTCATATAAGGAAAGTTGGGGGGGGGGCACCTAACAGGACAAAGAGTGCACGAGCAGCCAATCAGAATCAGATATAATGCCAGAGAGGCCATGAAAATGGCCACTTACTCTCTAATATGATAAAAAAAAAGCACAATATAACAATGAAGCCCATGGGATCCTGTCCCTGGAAGGAGTCTTTGCATTCCCTCAAAGTGCACATGGTCACTCCTTGTCTGTCAATAACCCACCCCCTTCCAAATATAACCAGCCTCTTTCTCAACTTGGACCACTTCTATCCTGAAGATTCAGGCAGTACATGCCTCCAAAATTCAGGTACCCACCACCCAAGACCACAAGGTGCCATCATCCAGAGGACTACCTATGGCTCATCATACCAAAATCTGACATTCGCAAACATTTATTTATGTTTACTAAAAGGACAGTGAAAATATAAAAATATTCAATATAGTCAACACAGAAGCTCCAAAGAAATATTTTGATAACTACTTATTACAAAAAGCTCTTATATGTAATGTGACATGACACCTGAAAGCTGGAATAGTGAAGTCAGAGCAGACGGTCATGCAGCGGCTTGTTGAAACGTTTCCGCCAAGACCAGCTCACCAGTCTGCTGCAGAGCAATGCTAGGTAAACACAACTGGTTGGTTATCATGGTATTACAAGTGTAGTCATGACAATGGATTTGTGACAAAGGAATTTCCATGGATACGAACTAGCCCCTATATATGGATATATCAGATCACCTACCAATAGTATTGCACATACTGGATCATGTTAGCGGCCTCCGTAGTCTAGGGGTAACGTTCCCAACTCGTGACTCAAGGTATGTGGGTTCAAACCTGGCGGAGGTCGTGGAATTTTTAAGGGCGGAAAAATTCAGGGAACAAGTCCTCCGGGAGGGACTTTAAGCCGTGGGTCCCGTGTCATAGCTTTACGGCACGTAAAAGAACCTCACGTCCCACAGGGACCACTGAGCTAAATTCAGGACATTTCCCGCCCAAAAGTAGTCTCTAACGCCTCTGGTACATGGGGGAAGCATCAAGATACCGGTGAGCCAGTAGAGGCGAACTCGTTGGCTGAGTCGGGACTGATGGTAAGCACCAGTACAGGTAGGGTATAGAGACTGGTAGAATATCATAGAGGGAAGCACAATGGACCAATACTGGTCTCAGTGCATGGGGAAACC